GTTAGCAAATGTGCACTTACTGATCATCCATAACACAATGTCCCTTAGGAGGACACATTCTGTAAAATATTGTTTGGATTTAATTATAAGCAAAAGTTTGCCTCTGCGTATGAAAACATTTGCTTTATTTGGTCAGAAAATAGAAATGATGTAATCCAACATATTTCCCTTTTTGTCTTAGCTTCCTGGACCAAGATAAGTAAAAATAAAATAAAAATAACCTTGCTATCTTGCTAAAACATATTTCCAAGTAAAGAATTTCTCAGAGTATTAGTCACTGCGTGCAAGATACTATGTCTTCGTGAGTTTTTAACAAGTTTTATTATTCGAAAGTATCTTCCTACACAAAACTTGAATTATTTTTTTTCTAAATTTAGGCTCACCTCACTAGGGTCTTTCAGATGCCTGTTTATTCAAAAGCAGAGGGGTAAACTGATAACACGGCATTATTTCTAGTTTGATGCTTCCATGAATATACATAATTCCCCAACCCCATCCCCATCCCCTGTGGCAGACTGCATTTTCCAGAGACGGCCACATCAATGTATACCTTCCACCCCATGTGCTCTGCTTGTCCTGCAACTGGCATGCTTCTCATCATAGGTGGGGTCTGTGTTTCTCCCCACCTTGAATCCAGGCAGAGGCTTATGACATTCCCTACCAATGGAGTGTGGTGGCAGTGACAGTAAATGACTTCTGAGACTGGGTCATTAAAGGTGATACAGCTTCCACTAGAGCGCTCTCTCTCTCTCTCTTTGGACATGCATCAGGGGACTACTGAGCCAACTCCCTGGAAGCTGCATGCTGGAGACATCATGTGCAGAGTCTACCTGCAGAGACCTGCTCCAGCTCCCAGCTGTTCTGTCTTCCCACACCAGGCACCACACATATGAGTGGAGAAGCCACTGAGATGATGCCAGCCCCAGCCACTATCTGGCTATAACCTCATGAGTGACCCCCCAACCCAAGTCAGTACTGCATATGCAAGCCCCAACTCCTGACACACAGAAACTATGAGAGAAAATAAATAATTGACATTGCTTTAAGCCACTAGGCTTTGCGATGACTGGCTATGCAGCCACAAATAACTAGCACACACCACCTGAAAAATATTCAGCATGTTCCACAGCTTACCTCATTGATCTCAGTGCCATCTGCGTTGTTATACACAATTCGATAACCAATAATCTTTCTTGAAGTTGGATCCCAGGTTAACCGAGCACTGTTAGAGCCAACATTGGAGATTCTCAGGTTTCTTGGTGGACTTAAAGGCACTTGGCAGTAAATGGAATAGAAAATAATTAAAATTTCAAATAACATACACATAAAAGACAAGAAACAGCATCTCTGATTTCTGAACTATTCACGTATGAAAACTATCACCCAGATAATAACTTATAACCCTGAAATAACCAGTGAATTGTCTCATAAAAATTAATAATATTCTCTATTAACAAAAAAAAGTTTTCCTTGTAGAGAATAAATAGTAGTAATAAGCTACACATGCTTAGATATAAGTAAGATTTAGATAAATTTTCTATGCTTATCATTATAGCCTGATATTAATAAGAAAACTAATAGATCAAAAACAAGAACTTCTGAAGTCAACTCCTAGCTCCACCATGTGCCTCTGGCAAAACTCTACTTCTCAGCTCCACACTCTCCCACATATAAAATCAGAGTGCCCATCTGCCAGCTCCACGTGGGTATCTATGAGACATCCCAACTTAACTGGTCCAAAACTGAACCGCTGATTCCTGCCGCCTGTCTCTATCTCCTCCTCATTCAGTCTTTTCCTTTGAGCAAACGGAAACTATGCTTCCCATCACTCAGGCCAAAAACCTTGGAGTCATCCTGTATTACTCTTTCTCTCACAGCCCACTTCCAACTCACCGGCAAATCCTTCCACGTTTATCTAGATATGATCACTTCTCTGCACTCCCACTACTACCATGTTGGTGAAAGCCACTGTCTATCTCCTCTTGGCTTGGATTTTTGCCATGGTCTCCCAGCCGATCTCCTAGCTTCCATCTTCCCCCACTATAACTATTCTTCAGTGAACCCCTAAGAATTCTCCTTTAAAAACATAAGCCAGAAAATCTCACTGTTCTGCACAAAACTTTCCAAATGGCCCCCAACACCCTCAGAGTAAATCCACAGTTCTTACGATGGTTTATGTGGCCCTATATAACTGGTCCTCTGCCATCCTGCTGCCCCCATATCCTGCTACTCTGACCTTCGTTCACATCATTATTGGAACCTGCCAGGCATGCTGAGTGCTTTCACATGCCCCACTGTACTTACTCTTATATCAACCACATGCTGGAAGATTATTTATTCCTCCTTCTACAGACTCAAAAAAAAAAGTTACATCACTTGCCCTTTGTCACCCAGCTAAAATATGAGTTGAGCTGGGATTTCCATTTCAGCTGCTATGATTCCAAAGCCTAAGCCCTTCCTTCTTTATTCTGACCTAGCATTTGGATTTAGACAACGAAATATGCAGGTGGAATTATCTGGAGGATGCTAAAGTTCAATTCTGGCATCCATATCACTCATAATTATACAGGATTGAAGAAATATATTTCCTACCCCTAAATAAAATACATGATTTTTTAAGTTACAATTAGCTCTTAAGAGGTTTCAACCTAAACTAGTAGTTCCAATTCAGAATCCCAGCATTTACTGGGCTTTTATTACAGCATTTCATCTGAATGACTGTACTGCTCACATGTTGTTTCTTGTCCTGTAACAGGATCGCTGGCCTCTTCTCCAAACATGGCATAAACTGTGACTGTGTATTCAGTATTGGGCAACAACTCATTCAATTCAATATCTGTGTGGGTCTCTCCAATTTTCATCTGAAAAGAACACATGTTATTAGATCATTTGCCAATGTGCATTATTCATACTGACCTGAACTGAATAAAGGTGAGATTTCATGGAATAAGACTTTCTGTCTCCTCACACACAAGCCCTTCATCAAATAGGCTTTAGTCATAATTTTTTAATTGTCTCATGTTGTTTTATATTAGGAAAAGATACTATGGAACCGTATAAAACTGAAAGTACCCATGTGTGCTGTGTTAGGATAACTCTTTGCATCTGGACAAACAGCAACTGCAGCCAGAATCACAGTGTTTAGTATATGGTCCCCAGGACTGGGTGGGTGGGATTGAATCAGAAATGTTCTCTTGAGAGTGTGAGCTCCAAGCCAGTGTGCTGGAGGCAGGGCCAGTGGGCATTTCTCACTACTGGCTGATTCTAACCAGTCCTCTGGCTGGATGCCCAGTTTTTGCTTCCAGCTTGACTGAGCTGGGCCAGTCTTGCCACCTCATTCAACAAGGGGGCCTGTCCAGTTGGACTGCAAGGCCCTTTCAGTATTCAGAAGAGATAAACCCACCTTAACATCTAACTTGGCAATTTGCTTTTTGATTCTGGGATAACTTTTCTGACTCTTGGATTCGGTCAAACTAGCCAACATTCTCAGTTGTGTGATAACAGAATGACAGGATAGTTTTATGTTTTGGAAGGAAAAAAAAAAAA